CACTTCACCGACGGAAACTACGCCGACCGTGTCCATATCGCCGACACGTGTGCACGCTGCTTACATTTGGATGCTACTGCGCCTGTGCGTTGTTCTGCGTACGGTGTAAAATATATCTCTGTCTTTGTTAGGTATGTTGGCACAAATCCTCCTTATTGAAAGCAAATGGAAGACTATATCTATTAATCTATGTATATATGATCTAATCAAAGGGTACCCATAATTTTGATCTAATGATCTAAGATTATTTCGCACTTTTTTCTTGTTGCGGTTTATGCCATAATTACGCGTTAACTTGTATGTATTCACTTTCTTGAACACTGAACAGCCAGTGAGTGCGAAAATTTGATTTATTTTGCAACTATTTAAACGTATGTACCGGTATTCCTATAATATACATTATGTCGAATTCGTCGATTGTTTATAATAACTTTAGTAGTACAGTGTGGCTGATGTATGGAAATATTGTAGTGAATTTTCTAGAAATCCAGATAAACATGGAGCCGTCATAAAAGATTGGTCACCGACGATAAGAAATGAAAGTGGATGTGACGCATCCTTTCCGCGAAATACGATATGTTTTGTTCGAGAATATTCGGTTAACCGCACAAAATTGCTTATTTCCCAATACATTTAAAAATATGCGGGATCCCGCAAATACCGAGATGCCGTGGGATTTATATAACGATCCCGCAAATACCGGGATTGAAATTTTACTGCGGGATTGCATTCCCTAGGCACGGATGAATTTGAATACACCTATACACGCGACTGCGTAGTGCCATAACATTATACTATGCGATCAAAAATGAGTTGCTGTCGAGTCATTTTTGGAATTTTTGTTTACATGAGAAATCGTACTTAACTTAAACTTCCAAAGGCGACTCGTCAGCAACTCATTTTTGGAATTTTTGTTTACATGAGAAATCGTACTTAACTTAAACTTCCAAAGGCGACTCGTCAGCAACTCATTTTTGATCGCCCGTTAGTACTTTATTTTTTCAAAATGCTTAACTTACGTGATTAACGCATATACC